AACAGGGAGAGTGTGGTTCATGTGTACAGGCACAGTGCTGGTAAAACTGGGAGGGTGTGTTTCATGTGTACAGGCACAGTGATGTGCTAAACCATTGTGTTTTGTTGGTGGGATGTCATCTTGTATGTTGCGGTTTTACAGGACATTGGTGCGGCCACATTTGGAGCACTGTGTATGGTCTGGTTAATAAATTGGAGAGGGTGGAGAAAAGATTTACAAGGATGTTAACGGGACTGGATGGTTTGAATTATAAGACTAACTGGATAAGCTATGATGTTTTTCACTGAAGTGTTGGAGGTTGAGGTATGTAGAGGTCTATGGTAAATATCAAAGGTCTTTTCCCTCAGGTTGGGAAGTTCCAAACTGAAGTGCACAATTTTAAGGTGAGAGGAGAAAGATTTAAAAGGGACCTGATGGCAACGATTTCACACAGTGGGTGGTTCGTCTGTGGAATGAACTGCCAGAGGAAGTGGTAGTTGCAAGTTCAGTTACAACATTTTAAAGACATTTCGGGAGGTACGTGAATAAGAAACGTTTGGAGAGATGTGGGCCAAACACAGGCAAATGGGAGTAGTTTAGTTTGGGAAACTTGATCGGCTTGGACTAGTTGGACAGCAGGGTCTGTTTCCGTGCTGTATGACTGTGTGACTCTGTGGTAATGTGGGGAGTGTTTCATGAATTGCTAACCTTTTGTTGTTACGACAAAATGTTCCCAGAATTTGGAAAAGAAGGAAGAAGCACACAGTTCTGATGAGGAGGATGAGCAAGAGAAAGAGGAAGAGGAAAAGGAAAATGAAGAAGAGTATGATGAGGAGGAATTTGAAGAGGTCAGTTGTTTAGCTTCCATTGACAATGAGTTGAATTTTGTTGAGTTTGTCTGACAGTGGTAATAAGGTACAGCAGTCAAACAGCAGTGGCTCACCCCCGAGGTAGGTTTTTTGAGAATCTACCCACCTCATCCCAGTTCTATCCTGCCTTCATGTGGCAATCGCAGAACGTGACGCACGGAAAAAGCAGGCCATTCAGCCCATTGGACCAGTGGCGGATCTTTGAAAGGCCTCTCCAATTCGTCCCACGACCCAATTACCCGCTCTTTCCCCGCACTGCCCCTGCAAATGTTTCGCCTTCAAGCATTTCTCCAGTTTATTCCCCCTTTTGAAAGTTCCTGCTCAATCTGCTCCCACTTCCACAGGCAGTGCGTCCCCCAGAACAACTCGCTTCATCAAGGAAACAAATTCTCCTCATCTCACCCCCTCCACCCTCAGAACTTTCTCCAGTTCTTTACAATCTGTATCCCTCTGGTGTTTGGCCCTACTACTGTTTCTCCTCCTTTGCTCGATCAAAACCCCCTCGCAATTTTGAACGCTACAATTGAATCAACCACTGGACCCCCTGAAAGAATTGGACAGAATCTTGCAGCGGTATTGCACTGTGGAGGTGACCATGTTGCACCACATGGGAGACCCTCTGTCCCTCTTCAGAAAGACCTCCATGTGATCTGTATACACTCCATACTTGTGTCTCACACTCAGGCTTTTCAGCTTCCACGAGGTTCGTTTCTAACCAAGACAACAAGGTGCAGGGCTGGATGAACACAGCAGGCCAAGCAGCATCATAGGAGCAGA